TGTTCAGCCTGCTTTTTTATAGAGCCCAGGACCACCAGCCCAGGGATGGCACCACCCACAATGGGCTGGGCCCTCCCCCATCAATCACTAAGAAAATGCCTTGCAGATGGATCTTAGGGAGTTTTCTCAATTAAGGTTCCCTCCTTTCCAGTGACTCTAGCTTGTGTCAAGTTGACAGAAAACTAGCCAGAATACCCTGAGACTCCATTTCCAGTGCAATTGCAGAGTCAGGGTGCCCTGTAGCTTGTTTGGCATTTAAAACCTCCTGTCCCATACCTCCATGAGGTATAGCCTTATAACATTCCTAAAGATGGCATCCTATAAATTCATCAGATTGGTATTGTAGGAGTACACGACCATGCTAGTCATATTAATTCAACTTCTTTACCTGGACATGTAGAGGACACCCAAGTCAGCAATGGGACAATAAGATGGTCACTTGCTTGTCACCTAAGCATCCTGGAGAAGAACTGAGAGGCCAAGAGTGCCTACTAGACCCAGGAGCTTCATCTTAGCTTGGTCTTCACAGTTGATGGGACTATTCAAATTGCCTTCCATCTACTCTATCTGGAGCTAGTTCTATCCTTTGTATCCATAGCTTCTGGTCCCACCATTGGCAAGACAGCTCAACTCCTTCCCAGAAGCTTGTCTCCATGCAGTGCCTCCAACCCACAGTGTTGGTGGTCTAACCCCTGCAGAGACTGAATCTGCAGCTGCCCAGAGCAGCAATTCTCAACCTCTGGGTCAAGATCCCCAGGGGGTCCAATGACTCTATCATAGGGGGTCTCACTTAAGTATCCTATATATCAGACATTTACATTATGATTCATAACAGTAGCAAAAACACACTTACAAAGTAGCAAGGAAATAATGTTATGGTTGGGGTCATCACAACATGAGGAATTGTATAAAAAGGTCGCAGCATCAGGAAGGTTGAGGACCACTGGGGCTTCTGCCTCTCAGTAAGGTCTCTGAACTGCTTGAATTCTTTAACACTTTGTAGCCTTCCTGTGACCTACACACATAGGTTATAGACAGACATTCACTGTGTGATGTGTAATTTGAGAATATTAGTAATTAAGATTGAAATAAGGGCTGGAAAGATGGCTCAGCCATTAGGAGCACAAACAAAGAATCCTTGCGGAGGAGCTGAGTTACATGGCCAGCAACTGTGTCAGATGGCTTTCAATAGCCAGTAACATGGGGGCTGGGGCTACCAACACCACTGACCTCAAGTGCATCGGCATTCGCAAACCTGTACACAGACGCATAATTTACCTATAAAAATAGGTTAGAATAAAATAACCTGCTTTGCCAATGGCTAGCTATTAAGGGAAAAGTAGATTACTTGTCAAACTGTAACCAACAAAGCAAGCAGTTGGTGAATTGTTAGTCAATGTAATCTGACATTGTGGATACAAACATGTCTGTCAGTGTGTTAGAATCCCAGACCAGATGCTTCTCAGTCCATCTGTAAACCTCTCTCCATTGTCACAGTTGTTCCTGGGGTTCCCATTGCTATAGGGATAGACAGATACCTAAGAGCAGTCAGTAATTTGTAAACACACTCCTTGGGTATCCAGAGTCCACCGATGGTAAGCAATGGTCTTACTTTCCAAGGAAGCTTACAGGTGTTCAGACTTCTCGGGCCACCACAAAGTCCTCTGTGCCCACACATCCTACCCCTATTTTACACAGGCCACTTGAGAGTCAGGGACAGCCTAGCTTCTGGGCTTGTGCTAGAACTCTTCACCCTTTCCTATAACACCTATATGAAGCAATCCCTGCCACCACAACTCTCCTCACAGTCCCTGCCCTGCTATCAGCTTAACTATGGTAACTATGGTAACTGAGGCCTGAACTTCCCTTGGAAGCCCTCTTGCCTGTATGCCCATGGTATGAATTCTCATAAACTTCTTGCCCAAAAGAACATTCTGTGTCAGTGTCCCTCTCGAATCCCCAAAGAGAGACCTTTCCCTGTGCTCCTGATGTAGCATGCTCATGACAAACGATGAGTCCAGGGGAACCCCTTCCCTCCCTGGAGGACAGTGCCACCTACAGTCTCAGCTGCTGGGCTCCAGGCATGCCCCAGGCATGCTCTTCAGCCATCAGGAAGGAAGCTGTGGCCCGGGAGGGACCTAGTAACTCTTTACCCCCAAGGCCTTGCATGGAGTGACACCCCATCTGAGCATCCTGCTCACTGTGCACATCATGTCAAGGGATGTTGGGCATATGACACTAATTATATCCTTGGCTGCAGACACTTAACCAAGGTGTTTCCCAGTCTGAGTTATGAGTGTCCGAACTGCAGCTGGAAGGGGGGGGGTCTGCATTTTACCAGTGTGAGAGACACCCCTCTAAATATGTAATGGAAATTACTTTCTCCTAGTTACTTGGGAAACCACAAGCCATGCCAAGCATTTGCTGAGTCAGGCTAACAGAACAGCCTTCAAGGTCATGCCCCCAGCCCTGGCAGGGACACTCTCAAACAAACGAGCAAGCAATGAATTCTGGGGCTCTGGCTTCCTCCAACTCCTGTCCTTTCCAGGTCTACCTAGCATGCCAGATCCCCTGCTGGTTCCTGGAATCTGCGACTTGTTCCCACCTCAGGCAGCAAACTTGGCAGCAAACTCAGGAGGATGTCACTGGGTTCCTTGCCAGACAGTCCTCAGTGGACCTGAGTGGGAGGCTGGTTAGGCGGGCTTGTAGATAGGGAAACTCAGGGAGGGCTGCAGACATGTCTCAGCAAGCCTGGGCCTGCCCCACAACCTGGTTCTGCAAAGTTGCTGACTGGGGACTTTCCCTGTAGTTCCAATTTCTGAGACTCCCCTCTCTTTCCCAGTGACAGACAGGACTGCAGGGAACATTGCTCCTAAGCTGCTCGAGGCCAGGGCTAGGATGAGAGACTAGAAGGTAGAAGGCTGAGTTCACAGTTGGACTGACCAAGGATATGGAACTGTCTCGGGATGAGGGTGGTGGTGGTTGACTTTGGCCTTGAATACTTGGTGCTTGCCCAGCAGCTTATGCCTTGCTATCCATCCTGTACAGCCCGGGGCTGTGCTGAGCCTGTGCTCTTTGGCCTCAGTGAGCTGAGGCCACAGGTAAGAATCTGATGGCTATGATTGTTACTTCTAGAAAACAAAATGGTGGAGTAGAGGGGAACTCCTTGGGGAGTCTTGCATCAGAAGGGGGTACTATTGTGGGCAAAGGTTCTTTGGGAGACAAGGGCCCTTGAATGTGGGATAGAGGCCCTCAGAGAATGAAGCCTTCCCCATCAATGGGCACTGAGAATAGGGATAGGTGCTACCACAGGGCTGGATGGTGATGAGAAGGCCCAGGGCTGAACTGAGAGGTCATGGGCTTGGTAGAAGGGGTGGAACAAGCCTGTGGGTAGCTCATGAGGATGTGTGCCCCACCCCAGCGCTGCTCAGTCTCTGGGCTCTGCCTCAGCTTCCTGCCTGCTCCCTGTACCTCCGTCCCCTATCTGTAAAGCCAGGGTCATCCTTTAAGATGCCTTAAGCTGTGTCAAAACCGAACAAGATGGCTGAAACCAGGTGCTCCTTCACCGAGACAGCCTTCAAGCTCCCTGACCCTGGCAGAGCTTTTACCCATCCCTGGAGAGGGCCCTGAAACCACAGGTCACTTTTGTCAGCTGTGTGCACAGTGCATGAGCTCTGAAATGTGCCCCCAAAGCTCAGCTTACCCAGGGAAGATACCAAGAATATTGTCATGGTTCTGGTGCTTACTAGAGCAGCTGGCATGTACGGCATATGGGCCTGTCTGTACATTCACCAACTCTTCTAACCAACTTCTTACCAGAAGGGACAATGTGTCTCAGTGACCCAAGGCCTCTTTCAAACCTTTCAGATATGAGCCCAAATTCCACAAGGACCCACCCCACAGACCATCCTTGGGTCCCCACTTCCCCTAGTCCTCCCCATTCAGCTTGAGGTCTATGTTCTACACACATACTGGGCTGCTGTCAATCATGAGTCCAATAGAAATCTGTTCTGGGAAGGAGGCTGTAGATGCCCCCATCCATCCCCATACCTCCTAGTGACCATGACAACTCCAGAAACCCTGTCACCAATGAACTCACCATGTCTACCATGTCCTTGAGGATTCCAGGTACTCAGGGCCTCAGATGAACATGTTTGAGGAATTGTTTTGCTTTGTCACATGGGAAGATGATTGGGGAGTTCACACCACCAAGCATCCTTAGGGAACCAGGCTTCCAGGTAGAGGCACTACGGAAGGCTGTGGCCCAGGGCCTGGGGGATGCAAGGATATGAATGCAGGGAGGGTCAGTTCGGATGTGACCTTTGCCCCTCTCCTCTGCAGCTGTGGCCTGGAGGTTGTCTATGTACGACACTAACTCCAGCGATGTGTTCACATTGTGTTGTTTCCTTTAGTGCGCAATTAGCTGGAGTTTAAGTTCTGTGAGGGCGATGAGGCGGCCTGCCCATTGGTCCTGGGTACTTGGTTCCTGGGCCTGAAAGCGAAGAGGGTGGGAGAATCTGAGTCACCAGGGGGCGCCATCAGACAGGCTAAAGTCCTAGTCTGGGCGCTTGCACAAAGCCTAAAGGGGCAGCAGCAGAGTGGAAATTGAGGGGAGGTTAGCAGGCTTCAGAAGCATGCGGAGGTGATGGGAGAGACTGCCAAAAGACTGATTTTTATGAGGTATCAAGAGTTATTGTCTGCCCACCCACAGGTAGGGTCCATGGGCATGGAGGACTTGGTCCATGTGCTGCCCTGTCTCGGTATTGAGTGGCACATGAAAACCGTTATCAAGTGACAATGCCTGTGTTATAGTGAAAACTTAGAGTTTTATAAACTCAGGGGCAACTTGACCCCAACTTGTAACACAGTCTACCCCTGACCTGAGTAGAGGTCCGAGCACCCTCCCTCTGCAGCGGCCATCTGCTGGAAGGTAATGAGTTCACTGTCACTTTCTACCTTACCTGTGATTGGCCTTGGGTTGGAGGAGGGTCCCTGCCTCGGGTCTCCGTTGGCTGCTGTCACTCTGGCCCTGCCCATGGAGTGGGGATCATGAAGCGGTTCCAGGCCTGGGCTGTCTTCCCTTAGTCCCCAGAGAGTTCTACTAGTGGCTGAGTCAGAGGGGTCCTGTCCTGAGACGACTGGTGCTTCTAATAAAGCCAAGCCTGTTTCAGTCAGTGCCTGGCTGGGAACATGAGGCCCGAAGAGCTTGGGATCCCTGGGGTCTGAGTCACTGGGGCTCCTGGGAACCAGGAGGCGGTGGTGGGGGTTGGAAGGCTAGAAACTAGGCTGTCAGCACTCCCTGAATCCCAGCATCACTTGGATCTTAGCAGCCAGTGGCTGTGCTGGATCGTAATGACAGGGGTCCTCCCACAGCCTCTGACGACCTGAAGCAGCAACAAGAAAGGCCCTTCGGATGATGGCTCGGTGTCTTTACCAGCCATGGACACGTGGACAGGATGCAGGCACCTCTTATTCCTCAGGCTCCAGGCCTGTTTCATCTTTCTGGTAAAACTGGCTGCTGCCAGCTGCTGCCCAAATATAACGGAGCTCCTGCCCGACACTGAGCCCTCAGCACATAGGTGACCACCCTCTTCACCTGCTATGACCTCCTCTCTGATGGGTCAAATGACACTAAGAAGCCATAAGACTAAGAGTCCACAAACAGACCGATGCTTAGGCATGGAAGTGAGACTCAGGTCTTATACATGTAGAAATGCTCTGAAGCAAGGCTCAAAATATTTTTTGAGCCTTTCAAAATGTGATTTGAAAATATGACATCCATCTCTGGACCTGGCAGATGCTGCGACCTTCTACAAAGACACACAGAAGGAACAATATCATTGAGACTTAAGCAAAGGTTCTATCCTGAGGACTGGCTTTGGCCAACACAGAACTGCCATCCAGACTCTGCAACAATGGATGGATGGGTAGACAGACCCATGCTGAGTCCTGGAGCCATGGCTAAGGTCTTTTCTTCCTCCCTGTTTGTCCTGAGTATCCCTGTGTACCTTTCTAGAGTACCATTCGGATGGCAGCTGGAGAATGGGAATGGTTCTAGACCACATATAGCAGGCCCAAAGGGTTGCCTCACTTTACCATATAGACCCACTGGGAGGACCATCTGACCCATTTGTTTCCAAAGAGTAATGATATGGGAAAGGATTGCCCTTTCAGCCAGGTGTCTGGGTGGAAACTGATGGGTGGGCCTTCCTTCCCTCTCTACCCAGACAATGGCCTCCTGGAAAGTAAATTCCAGACTCTAAATGCTTCCAGGATCTGCAGGGTAGACTAGTGTATGCCATTACTGACAGGTGGCTATGAAAGATATAGCCATCTTCCCGCCTCTGTCCACATCCCATGGAGGAAGATCATGATCTACAGACATCATCATGTCTCTGGTGGTCAGGCTGCACACCTGGGTACTGCTCATGCTTCTCCCTGAGCATTCTCAGGCCACAGCAAACTAGGAAGTCTCTACATCACAGCACCACTGCCCTTTCTGCCAGCTGTGGCTAACCTTGCACGGTGGAAATGGAAACCCCAGGGGACTGGTCAGGGGGCTCTGGAGTGAGCACACCACCCCTGTGTTCCTAGCTGTTCAGAGTCCTGCCCTTCACTGCCCTCCTGGTCCTGAGTACCTTCTCCAAAGCATTGGCAGTTTCCTTCACTTTCTTCTTTGTGGAATACGGGATGCAGCACATCCAGCTGGTCCTTGTCCTGGACGCCAAGAACATGAGGGAGTAATAGTGCACTCCCTGCTCTGTAACACACCAGCCTCCATCCCTTACTCTCAAACCCCACTCTCCCACTCCACAAACACCCAGGGAAGTAGGGCTCTCCCTGAGCCATCTCCTCTCTTCCAGACCAGATTCCAAAGCTTGCTGCTTAGTTTTGCTTTCAGGTACCCAGGTCTCTCATTCTCTGGCTAGAGGGACTCTTATACAAGAGAACCATTGAACCTAGTCTTCCTCCAGGCAGCAAAACTTGGAGGCAGAGGAAGGTAACCTTCATGGATGTTTGTCTCTTAGAAGACGTGGCTCCCACAGTACGGTGAAGGCAGTCACCCAGTTCATGGTCAAAGCTTCCCAAGTGGGTAGCAATGGGGCTGTTGGTGCATGGTTGGCCCATTTCACTGAGGGGTGGGGGTTCTGGGCATAACATTGGAAATTAACAAGGTAAGAGGTACAGAGTGTCACCTGTCCCGATCAGGTTGCATGTAGGACCTTTGTCTGTACCAAGTAAATGTAGGTCTCAGGGCTACGCTGACACCTACCCTACCTAGGGTAGTGAGCATTAGGGATTGGAATCCAGACCCAGAAAACAGATTTAATTGTCTATCTCTTAAGATAAAGAGTAAAACCAACAAGCCCCTTGCCTGTGGTTAAATCCATCCAAGAACCAGTAAGAAAAGGAATCATTTGGAAAAGACTTGCCTCTCTCAAGTCTGGACTAGGGACTGTGACCAAAGTGTCCTGATCACTTGGTAAAACTTGATATGGTCACCTATCATGGCCTGGTCATATGGAGGTCAGTCAGGGGAACTTCCCAGTAAGGATGAACAAAACGTCACTGAATTCCTTCCCCCAAGAGAGATGCTTGAAGCCAAGGTGGCAGTCACTGAGACAATTCCCCAACTGCCCACCAAATAGAGGACTAATTGGAGTGTGATCAAAGAGCAGTGCCTGTGGGTGGCTTATGGTCCAGAGGGCACCCACCCGACACAAACCCAGCTTATGTCTGAGTATGATATCAAGGATCATGCAGCCTAGCAGTGTCCTGGGTCTATAAGGTACAATCAGGGGTGACTACAAAACTCCCCTTTTTTTCTGTGCTACTCCATATTGTGTGAGTTCCTTCAAGACCACATGCCAGTTTTACAAATCCATTAGAGAAATTTTTATCTTGAAAGTAAATAGTATATAAGCCAAAATACTAACAAAGACATTAATTCTGAGGCGGTGGGAGTTTGAGTAACTGATTTTGTGTTCTCTGCATTTCTCTGTATTGTCAGAAATGAAATAAACTAGATCCACAGGCCAGAGGCAAGTGTCTGCCTGGATCCTGATAACTTTCTTTATGGCTAATGGCTCTGAACCTCAGGAAACCTCAAGGTTTTGCTTGTCCACCCAGGGGCATGAGTCTTAGTACCAGTGCACAAAACCCTGCAGGGCTAAACCCAGCTATAAGAGGCTAGCTCTCCCTGCTGGCATCCGTGTATGCAGGGCCTTCTCAACCCACTATCTGTAGCTAAACTCCAACTGGGGACCCTGACACCATATTGTTACCTTCTGCTTCCTGGTCACTTTGCTGGCTGATGGCATGGGGAGCCATGGTCTAGTGATGGAGTGAGATGTGGCGCCTGGTTCATTGGTTCCCACGCTCTGAGAAAGTTTATCATATTGTTGCTTGTTCCCTGGCACCTCTGGTCCAAATAACCACTTGGTTTGTGCATGGTTCAGGGGTGGAGGAGAGGCAGGAGGCACAGTGCTGCCACCATAGGAGTGGGAATGTCACTCTGATAAGCACCCTCATCTAAGTTATCCCCTAAGCAATACTCACTCATCCTCTGACAAGTCCCCTGTGTCCAGGGGGGGCCTCTTCTCTTCTCTCACGGCACAGGTGACTATCTGTGGGAAGTGGCAGAACAACCTAGGAGACCCACCCAAGGAACAGACGGGGCCAGAGAAAGCCAGTCCACGCTGGCCCTGAATCCTCATTCCAGACAGTGCTCTGTTGAGTGGGAATGCCCAACAAGGGACCCAGGCGCCTTGTGTGAGCCTCCATGGCTTCTGGGCTACAGTTGGAGAGAACTGGCCCCTTGGTCTACTTCTGCTATTGGCTGACATTTCTGGAGTTCTTAGAACTTGGGGCCCTCTGAGTAGCCTCACAGAGAATTAGTAACCAGTCTTTTTACCACACAGTGTGACTCAGAAGCTAAGGGTATAACAGGTGTAATCTGGAAAGTAGCCAACCCTCAGGTACTCCTTGAACTTGTCAATTTCGGGAGTCACCCAAAAAGAGATCTGCTCCTTACAGCAGAGAACTGGAGAAAGGCTCCAAACAGCTATGTCAATAAGCCACTGAGAAGAATCTCACCATGCTGTGATAGTGGTGATGGTGATTATGTAGTAGTGATATTGACAATGATGGCAGTGATGCTGGTGGTGCTGGTGGTGACTGTTAATGGTGATGACAATGATGGGGATGACAACGGTGGGTGGTAGTGATGGTGATGATGATATCCAGGGTGAAAATAAGAATGTGATGGTAGTGGTCGTTACAGTAGTGATAATGTTGGTAGCAGGGTGGTGATGGTGATAGTACTGTTGGAGATGGTGATGACAATGGGTTGTGAATAATGGTGACACAATACCAAGGCCACTATTTTGAGAGCTTTACAAAGCAGCCTTGAGATGGGGCTATGTGGCTTCCATGACAGAACAACTCAAGCCCAAGCTGTTCTTGAGTATTTTGAGCAGTTATTGATGGAGCCGTGTATCTCCCGTTCTCTCAGCACAAGCCCAAGGAACTAGGTTTGGGTTGGGGGGACAAAGGTGTTTTCCTTCTGCTCCCACAGCCAGCCCTTACCCAAGCACCATGGAGGGTCCCTAGAATTTCTGGCCTTGGGTCCATGCCTCCCCCTTCATGTGTCTGTTATGCCCCCCCCCAACAGTGTGGGTGCTCTCCCAGGGCATAGTTTGGATCTCTGGTCTGGAGAGTTTTGCTGTACCTCCTCCTCAGTATGGTCTCCCAGGTCGATCTCCACAAATACAGATGGTTTCTATGGATGGAAGCAATAATTTGTGAGTGAGCTTGGAAGGAAGGAGCTGTCTCGTAGACATGTAGATCTGGGTGGTTTCACCACATTCAGGTGAAGGGAAAGGACCCTTGTGAAGCTTGCAGGTCCCAATGGCAGCTCAGACAGTAGTGTCCGGAAGGCTAGCTAGCTCTGAGCAGGAGAGAAGTGTGACCTTCTGACCCATTCCTACTAAGTGGAAACAAGTTCTTGAGATCCTAAGAGTTTCTTCATCCTCCGCTTTGGGTGCTAGGGCCTTCAGGTAACAAGGCAGTGTGGAGACTGTGGGATCCCTCCCCAGCCCTGATCTACCAGGAACATGTGGCTCACCTCCACACATTTGACATTTGACTTGTCATTGAGTGACAAGTTCACTCAAATGAGATCTACTCTGTAAGGTGGGCCAGCTCAGAGAATGCCAAATCAGTCTCTGTTTGACACCTTGGCTGGCCCAGAATCTTGCCGAGGACTATCTGCTATAAAGTCCTGGTGAAAACTGTATCCCTCTGTCACCATTCTCAATAACACGGTTTGGGGAGGAGGATAAAGCTTCCTTCCTTGTTGAAGGTCACCGTGAAATTCTTAATTCAGTATGAGGCTTACACAGATGTACCTCAGTGACCAAGGTCGGGTGTGCCTTTGGTCAGCACACCTGGGTAAGAGGCTGTGGAGCAGGGGATTGTTCTGGGTAAAGTTCAGCTGGAAGGGAAAATGTTCTCAAGAGCCACAACTTTAGTGACTTCATTGTTTGGCAAGCGAGGGCAGGATGCTGCAAGGTCAGACAACAAAGAGGCCCAGAGTTTGACCCCTGAACCCTTCTAGCCCAGCCAGACAGCACAGCACCTGCTCAGGTGGCTTTAAGGACCTCAAGTCTACAGTGCGCACAGCCTGCTGGGAATTGTGCACAGCCAGACTTGCACATCTTAACTCCTGTGGCTAAAGTTAGTGCTTGCCTGTTTTTCTAGAAGGTTATTCAGCTTCATGGATTCTGGCTCTTGCTCCTATAAGTGAAGATACCAACAGGTGAGTACAGGGGATGCCAAGCAGGAGGATAGAGTGTGCAGAGCTGCCCAAGGCCAGCCTGACCTCGGCCATTGAGGTGTGTCTTCCTTTTTGGGCACCATCCTGTTCTGAGGTGCTGGCCTCTGAGTCGCTCTTCTCATCCAGTTTTCTGGGCTCATCCTGGCTCTTTTTCTTTCTGTCTTCCTCTAGGCTCACCTGACTGGAGATAAATGGGTAGGGGAGGTGTTGAAAAAGCAGTTTACAGGAGTCAATTGCTTTTTGTCTCCTCCTCTATGGCTGGGAGTGGGGTGAGCCTGCGGGCCCTTTGGGGACAAAAAGGAACGCTTTTTTTTTTTTTTTTTTTTTTTTTTGTCCTCTAACAACTCATCTTGTCTGGAGACACCAGCTGCACACTCCCTCCAGGTAGAGACTGTAGGGCTATGGGCATTGGTGGACTGTTCTGTGTCTGACACTCATGCCTAATCTGGCGGCTCCCCTACTCCATGTACCCTGTCGAGTATGACTAGGGGAGATGCAGGTATGCCCTCGCCATTGCCAGAGGTAAGACTCAGATAGCTGCTGGCCTTTGACATGTTTTGATGTTATGGGTTGCACCACCCAAAGGCCTTCCAAGCCCCAGACTGTCTTTTTTTTTTTTTTTTTTTTTTTTTTTTGGCTAGACAGCTGCTACAGGCCTATGTGACATGTTGTTCCCTAGTACTACCAACCAATGGCACTTTCAGCAGCTTCTGAGTTGCCAACATCCCTTCCACCTCAGTATTTTCTGATCTAGCACCTTCCACTGGTGTTGGCTCATGAGCAGCCATCTGTAAACAGGCAGCCTGGTCTGTGCCTGGTCCACAGTGAACAGACTTAGGATCTGAGAAAAGCCCTTGGGTTCAGTGACTTTTAAGCCCTATGGAAGGCAGGATGGTAGGCAGCCCAAAGGGATGATGGTTCTGTGTTAGGTGTCCAGACAGCCTGTTCTATTTGACCACTAGTGAGACTAAACGGTTATACAGCCTCACTGTTCAGCAAGGGCGCTTGGCAGGACACAGGGTGGGGCTTCCTTTCTGGGAGAGGCACATGGAGATATTTGTGAGATACTTCCACCAAGCCAGGTGGATGCCAGATAAGGACCAGCCAGAAGGGCTTCCTGGAGCCCTGAGACACTCTACGGTGGGTTCTGTTTTTATGATGAGTCCCTTGGGTTAAAAAGGATCTTGAGCCATCCCAACCAACCCCCAACAAAAGGACGCTTCCAAAGTCCTAACCCTGAGGGAGGGCTCCATCCCTGTCCCCCCCCCCCACTACCTCAGTCCTCACATTTCAGAAGTGTCTTCCACTCACCAGGTGGTATCATCCGTGTCACTTCGTGAATCTTTACCTTGGTCCTCAGACTCTGAGGACAAGGGCAGTTAGTTAGTAAATGAGCATTCCAAGGTATGACGCTCCAGCACCCAGGCTTCGCCACAGTTCCATACCTCACTGACTGGCTGTCCTGGCTAACACTCCTCTCAGGCAGGCTCCAGGCCAACAGCCATGGCTAAAAAGAACTCCTCTCCTCCTCTACTTCTTTGGCCACGTTCCAACCACTCCATTTTTCTTCCTAGCCCAGCACCTTCCATGCCTACGCAAGAGCTTTTTGAGCCTACTTCATGCATAGCTGCAAAAGCCCACCCCTTGCTCTATTATTCTCCTTCTGTGATCCAGGCTGGGCCTCCATGACCTCCTGGAACACACCCATGGTCCCCAAATCTTCCTCACCCCAGCACAGATTACTGGAGTGGCAGAGCAGGAAGATAAGGAAAAGGATCCCTCATAAGATGGTCACTCGCTGGAGATGGGGTGGCTTGTTCAGGAACATCCCAGCCACCGATGACTCCCAGCTCTGAGGACCATCACTGGGGTGATCTTAATTATCCTCTATTTCATGGGGCAGGAGGTACCTGCTCAAGGCTGAGGGGACCCTAATGAGTGGCCATGAAACATGAGTTCCCTAGCTTCAAGGACAATGACTGCAGGCAACCATGCCAAGTGAACCTGGGTTGGTCTGTGAGCTTTCCCCTGACACAGCATGTAACTTCCTCCCCTCTGCTTCCCAGGATCTGGCCATCCAGCACAGCATCTAATGGGAGGAGTCATGCACAGATGACTACATTGAGGCCTCCATCTGGCCCCAGTGCTGCCACGGGGCGGGGGGGGGGGGGCGGAGGGGGCAGACCTCAGCACGGATGGCTGGTATCATCTGATCCCCACAGTGGCTGTGGGATCCCATGGTGTCAAGAGTTCTGGTTCAAAACAAAACAAGCCTAGAGACTGGGCTGGGGCTGCCCTGTTCGGACAGCTCGCTAACAGGACTGGCTAGCCCTTTCCTTGGGGTTAGTGTCCAGGCTAGTTGATGGCAGCACAGGAGATGCTTCTGCACCAGTCAGTCATCTTCTTTCCATCCTTCCCAGCCTTCTGCCTCAGTGTAGGCCTTCACAGAGATGCTAGGTGCTTCCAAGATGCCTTCTTCCCACAAGGGAGCCTGTATACTCCTGATCTCAGCACATCTGGCCTTGGCTTAAGCCGTGTCCCCTTTCTCAGGGGACCTCATGTTTGTGTTCCTCTGTTGCCTGCAGTGCTGGTCTCAGACTTGTGGACATGTGTGGATGGAAGCTGCCTGCCCAACAGTGTGTGTGTGTGTGTGTGTGTGTGTGTGTGTGTGTGTATGCTTTACACAGCCTTGCATGTGGCAGGTTTCAGTTCCATCTCAGCTTCAAAGTCCAGAGAGTCCAAATGATGAGAGGAGGGCTGGACATCAGGTCTCCTGGGAATTTACATAATCCCAGAAGAATTTAAAAGTGGACTAGAAGGGCTGGAGAAATGCTGTTAAAATCACTGGCTGCTCTTGTAGACGTCCAGGGTTCGATTCCCAGCACTCACACGGGGGGGGGGGGGTTCTCATAACACTAATTCCGATTCCACGAGTTCTGGTGCCCTCTTCTGGTCTCCACAGTGCTGCATGCACATGGCACATAGGCATATATGCTGGCAAAACACCCATACACATAAAGGAAGATCTGTAAGCCCCACCCCGGCACACATGTATACATGCACCTGTGTTTTACAAGATGCCAACTATTAGGACACTCTTCTAGTTCTCATCCTTCCTGTGAAGTGTACCTAGCCACAAACAGTCAAGAGAAAGACTGGCTTTCCATTGCTCGGTGCTGTTCTGGAGTTAGAGGGCAGCTACTTCTTACAGGAATATGCTTGCATGATGTGCAAAATATCTGCATTCAGATGTCCACAAACTCTACTTTCTTGAAGTTGGGCCAGGTCTGGCCTGCCCTCCCAAACCACTAGGGAGCCACTCCCTACCTGGCTCCTTGCGTAGTAGCTTCCTGATGCAGACTGGTGGATCCCCCTTCTGGTGTAAGCCACCCACACTCCTGCTCCTCTGGAGTTCAGCCCCCTCAGTGGTCACCTTGAGGTATCCAGGGACTATTCCTGAGGGCAGGGCTCCAGGACCAGGCCGGTGCCTCCTGTGAGTGATGGGATCCTTTTCCATCCTGACCCAGAGGGGAGGAGGGAGCCACCAGGGCAGCCTCAGACGAAAGGCATCTCTGCCAGCCTCTCTCCCTGTCTCTCTTCCAGCAAAGTGGTCCAGAGCAAACTTAGTCTCCGTTACTATGGTGCTGTTGTGACATCACAAATTAGAGCTGAATGTTTGTTGAGGGCCATCCCAAAGGTCCTTGAAGGCTCGAGGTTTTTTGAGTAGTTTCTGGTCTGCCACTTTCCTGTACTTCTAGATTCTTCAACAGCCAAGAGCCTTCCGGAAGACAATGCCTCACAAACATGTGTTCCTGACATCTCTGCTTTCTCCTATTGGAGAGTCTTCCTTTTTCTTGAGAGATGAGGATGGCAGAAAGCAAAGTCAGGAAAATGACTGAAGGGCCCTGGGACAGTGTGATCAGATTTACATCCAGGTCAGTGGGTCAGGGGTCACCACCGAGAGGAGGGCTTGATGACTTAAATTACACTGACAAACATCTGCCTATACGGGATCACAACCTGAGTGCTTCAATTAGAAAAATACCTCCCAAGGCTGGAGGGTTAGATCAAGGAGGGGAAGGGCTGGCTCCCTGTAGCCCTCTCAGGGTCTACAGATGTCATCTTCAAGGGGCTGCCCCCAGGCTGTGTCAGCTCTTCTATGAAGACACCAACCACACAGGATTGGGGCTCCCCCTAGTGTCAACATAACACACAACCACCCCCTCAAAAGGGATAAAAGTTTATTCTGGAGCTAAATATAATGACATTCATGGTGCCCCAACTCCATGCCCCAACATGATAACAGTTGAAAAAGTTTTTCTTTTAAATATATTAATTAGTACATCTGTGTCTGTATGTAGGTATGTGCACACATGGGTGCAGGTCTGGTATGATCCAGAAGAAGGTGTTGGGTCCCCTGGAATTGGAGTTAAGCAGTCATGAGCCATCTGATTCAAGTTCTGGGAGCTGAACTCTAAGAGCAAGATAGGCTCTTTGCACTGAGCTATCTTCAGCCTCTGGAAGTTTCTAGCAGAACAAAGAAAGTCATAAATAAAAGCACTTTTCAAATACAATCAGTGGAAATATTAAATAGATGGCTTAAAACCACAGGGACTCTTGGTTCTAGGCCTCAGCTGCTATCTGGTGACACCCATAGCTTTTTGGTTGGGGAAATGAGTTTTATGAATGCATTCCAAAGGGTTGACCCTTTGTTAGGTCAGACACAGAGGTAGGCAAAGAATGGCTATAAGGTGGTCACATATAGCCCAAGATAAATTGTAATTAGGCTCTGGACCTGCAACATTCCAACCTATCCACAACCACTGAGGTTCTTATCAGTTAATCAGCTTTGCAGATGTTTAATGTAAGGTGTCATTCTTTCCACACTAGAGACCTTATTTCATTTTCATAACTTTCCAAGATGTCCTTCTCAAGCACAGTCACACCCGAGGTTTCTGGTGTTAGGTTGTCAGCATAGGATGCTGGAGATATGCCTTGACCTAACATAGCCTAACAGAAGACCCTGGTTCACTGCTCAATTACACAGCCATTTCTAGCTACAATGCTAGGAGGAGGGTCACCTGACTCCCCAGGGCTTTTGAGTGGGCCTGAGAATTAAACTAACTCAAGGTAAATTCAGCAGGAAGAAATTTATATGAATTTATTCTCCTGTCATGGGACCTGAGCTGATTAGTTTTTATCAACTCGACACACAAACACATTAGCATCAAACCATAAACTTTCCTTTGTTGTTTCTCTTCAAGATGTCATGTTAATATTAATACCACAAGAAAAAACATGGTTTAGCTTTTAAACATCCCACAGTCTTTCAATAATTCTGATAATTTAAAAGTTTGATTTCTCTTTAAAAACCCAACATCTCTTTAAAAAGACAAAGTCTCAACTGTGGGCTTGTTTAAAGTAAATACCTTACATATTTTCTTATTCCAAGAGGGAAGAACCAGGGAAGTCACAATTAAAGCTAAGCAAACCAAAATTAAATAGCTTAGTGTCTGATGTCTAGGACTCACATTGTCTGGCCTACACAGGAATTGGCAAATCCCTCTCTTCCACACAGTACCCCACTCAGCAGCTTTCTTCTGAGGGTCCTGCCTTCCCAACATTAGTTCTGCCCTGTGCCCAGTGACTGGTTCCTCCCTGCCTTCCCAGTGATTGGATGTGATCAGGAGGTATAAACCCAATCTCTTTCCTCCCCAAGTTGCTCTTGCTCATGGATTTTATCACAGTAATGGAAGCACACTAAGACAAAGCTTCATAAAGAATGAAGCAGAAGTAACAAAATAAAGTTTTCCTGCTAGCTGCATGGAGAAGAGTGGTGAAGGGATTGTGTGGGATTGTGGCGGGGGGACAGCAAGGGCTGGGTCAACCCTCTTCTTGCTACAGGGGAGATGTTCACCGAGGTTTCTATCTGCAACCACTGCTTTTCAAGTGATCTCAAAACCACCATTTCAGAGCACATAGCTCCTGACAGCCGTTCCCCTGTGCAGACAGGTCTCCCCACCCCTCTCTCCCATCCCAGCATCTCACATATGGGAGGCTCCAGGTCACTGATCCAGTGACCAGTGCAGAGACCTAGCATCCCCGGGGGTGGTGGCAACCCTACCCCACTCCAGATGCTCTGATGGTTGGAGCTCAAGATGGAAGTCTAGAGGTTGTTCATGGTGACGGCCTTCTACAGTGACTAACAGGCCTGGAAGAAAAGCACACAGACATGACTGAGGTCTCCATCAGAGAGAGCTGTGGAGGGGCTTTGGGGCCCTGTGTACTCTGGTGTTTCATTTTCTGTATGTCCTCCATACAGTGACTTGTCTATCCCCAGCCTCCGAGTTATCCCTGGGTTGACTCTTAACTGACAGGATCAAGAGTGAACCCTGCCCCCGTACCCCGATGAGCTGAATCCTAACTAGGCAAGCTGGAGTGTGAGCTGGGCCTTAGCTAGGCATACCCCAGAGTAAACTGAATCTTAACTAGGCATGCCTCAAAGTGAGCTGAGTTCTAATTAGGCATGTTCCAATTTGAGCTGAGTCCTGACTAGGTATGCCCAAGTGTGAACTGGGCCCTAGCCAGACATGTTCCAGTATGATCTGAGCCCTGATTAGTCATGCTCAAATATGAGGTGAGTCGTTTGTCTTGATATTGTCCAATTCTTTATGGATACTTTGCTTCCAGCTGATCCAGGCTGACAATGGCTGTAGCCAGGGCAGCAGGCACTCCCCGCTCATTCCTAGGAGTTACTGGCAGACAAGAGCCCAAGGAGCAGGGTCACACCTTCCTTGCTCTACTCCACACTCTTTTGTGGCCAGGTTGACCAGCGACCCCTGACAGTCTCATCCTGTCCTGGGAAGCCTTTTGGCCTGAGTTCTTGACCCCAGAAAGTCCCCAGAGTAAAGTCTAACTCAGTGCTCCCAAAGCCAAACTCTGGTCTTTTCTTATAATGGTTCAGACTCCTAATGAAATTAAAGGAAAAGAAGTTAATGAGAGTCAAATAGAGAGGAGAGGGCTAAGGGATTAGGTGCCACAGTGGTGTCCCTCGTTCTGGAGAGGGGCCTCCATGCCCACTTCACTCTCTAGGTCTCCAGGAGAGCCTCCCCCCAAAGCATCTGCTTGTCTGTTCCACGCAGTGCTATGACCTCAGGCCACCGTGTCCTTGGAGACACAGGAGAATCTGTCCCCTCCTCCCCTAGCTGTCTTCAGCTACATAGGACCTACTCTTTTGAGGGTGCCAAAAAGCCAGGCCCTCACAGAGTTACAAGTGGACACCATATGTCAGAGACATCATATGCTGTCACCAGAGACAACACCTGCCTGGTTTCACAGCAATTCTATCTACCTTTACCTGCTACCCTCCCTGTGGGAAACCTCTCATACACTGTTCCCTTCATGTGAGCCCCTCCAGAAATCCAAACCACTCCTCAGAAAGAATAAAACATCTGTTTTTAATTGCCCAATAAAATACATTGCAAAACGTTAGTATCTTATAAACAGAAACATTAAGTTACAAATCCACTTTAAGAACAAGCTCAGTGCAGCCTAATCATTGTGTCCAAAGTCATTTCTTTTATCCTCCATTTCTGTGACAACCAAGGCTGTTACCATGTCTTCTAGATGAAGCGTGAACTTCCCAATGAGAATGAAGAGAAACTGGCATTGGCATATGTGGTCGTGTCCTTCAGCAACATCCAACAACAGTGTGCCTTTTTGTCAGTCTGTGCAGACTGTGTGTGGGGGACGAGGCTCCAGCAGCATGGTGGGGCCAAGCTGATGCGGTCTGTCTTGTCTGTTTTGGGGCCCTCCCAACCCGACCAAAAGTGTATCTAGACAGTGCTGTGAGTAGCCTGTTGGGTTCACAGAGACACAGGCATGTGAAATAGCATGTTTGGCCTTTATTACTGACGATGCAGCTCCTAGCCCAGGTCTCTGTCCCTCAGGACCCTCTGGCTTTGTGAGCAAACAAATACTGTTCCCTTAGGATTTCCCTGTGCCATCCCCTTTAATGCATATAGGTGTTGATGCTCCAAACTGCCTTATATCAAAATGCTATTTAAAAACAGTCCCTTAAAAACATTAAGAAAAACAGCTTGAAAAATGCACATTTTAAAAATCTTTCCCAAACTTCCACCACGGTAGCACGTATGTGGATTCTAGTTTTAAAACTTACCCCGAATCTAGATGGATGCCCAAACTGAGGGTTAATGGCCACCTGTCAAAGACTGGGCTCACAGCCCTCCCTCTCCATGTCCCCAAAGACCCAAGGCTTCCTGTGCCATCCTGTCCATCCCAGCCACAAAAAGACCCTTTAGCCAGGAACAAACCAACATAAGCTAAAGAGAAAGGCTGCCTGCCTGCTGGCTGCCAGGAAAATGCTACTTCTAACATCCCAAACAGGGATTAAGTAGAACAACAAGGATTAAGTAGAATTTCTAGGGCTAGGGCCAGACTGCTACATGTATGCAGAGACACAGAGTTCAGCAGGCAAAGAACAAGAGACAGTGTACACTACAGAGGGTGCACATCGCCATGAATGCACCAACCGTGCCTCTGTGAAGAGAGATTGGGTC